ATGGCGGACGCGTTTGGTTAGGAAGAAATGCAAAGCGAATGGTCCACTGCTTATTGTCAGAATGTAAATGTATCTGTGGAGAAATGGTTGATATTTGTGCATGAAATGATTTTAAAGGAAGCAAATTATGCACAATCGACTTTTTTGAGCATTGTTCATCTAGAACAGGGGTGGCCAACCCGCGGCTCGTGAGCCGCATGCGGCTCTTTGGCTGGTTCCGTGCGGCTCTCGGGCTTTCACACGACAAGCGTCAAAAACGCCTCGGTGGTGGCGCTGCCATTCATTCTCTATGTAGTTCTGACCCATAGTAAAGGCTGACTTCACTCCACTAGCCAGGCCACCAAAACAATCTGACGTCGGCGAACGTCTATTCTGATTGGTCAGTCACTCTGCAGCTGCTGCCTCAGCTGTTGCAAATATCATAACAAACAACACGTTGCCTCGACCCATGGCGTCCGTACGGAAAACAGTTCCTTGGTCGCTGGATGAGGGCAACACCTTCCTCAGTTTGAGGAGAGGACACCAGCCTGATCTCGCTGGTTCCACCAGAAACCAGAAGGTGTTTGTGAAGCTAGCGCTAAGGACGGAGCAGAAGGATTCCCACGAACATCACAACGCAGAGAAAAGTTAAAAAGCTTAAAAGTGACAACCGTGAAATGAAAGATCACAGCAGCAGAAGTAGAGGCAGACCCGAAAAGTCTGGAGGTGGTTTGACCAAATGGATTAAATTTACGGACATCGACGAACACCGGCTAACATGCTAAAACCAGCTAGCATTACACCAGGAGAAAAGCCAACTCTCCCTGGTGAGTGTCTGTCTTCAATCAAATGCAAAAGTATCTGGTCTTATACTGAGCATGTGTCTGTGGTTCTAAATCAGCTAAAGTGGTGTTGGTGTTATGTGTCAAATTTATATCTTTTACTAAATACAGTCAGAGAGTGAATCATGGTTCGATAAAGACAGTTGTGTTTCTGCTGAATACTGGGTTGAAACTCGATTTTTTTTCTTGGTTAGAGATGGAAAGCATTCATTTCGGAATCATAATTGATGTTCGCTGACGTGAGATTGTTCTGGTATCGACTCGCCCGGTTAGAACCAGGGCCGAACCATCAATAAAAAGTACCGGGGAGCGGCTGAAGCGAGCGGTAGAAGCGCCCGCAAACCGGGGAGAGTTCAGTCCAGCCCTTTAGTACTGTACGAGTCAATTTCTGTCATTATCATGTTGATGACATTTACAATAAATCTGTCTGAGCAGAGCACACCTCTCTCTGCTCAGACAGATTGCATGTGTGTGTGCGTGTCTGCTCGTGTGCGTACGTGCGCGTGTGCGTGCGTGTGTAAGGGTTGGGGTGATGTTTATGTAGTGCACATTTGTATGATGTGGCTCTTTGCTGTAATACAGTAAAAAAATTGGCTCTTAGTCTCTGACTGGTTGGCCACCCCTGATCTAGAGGTGTTGTTTTTTAAAGATAAATCCACGCTAATATCACGCTTCTAGCTCCAACTTAGACCCTTCTGTCTAAACTTGAAGGCACAAGTAAATGTCTTTAAATTTAGATGCTATCAAAAGAGCCCAAATTCAGGGGTCCCATCGTCACATCATGAAACAGACAGCATAGATAGTGATAGGAAACCATGGCATATTATACTTCATTTTAAAGCCTATGATCTCAGGAAAACAACAATATCATTTAAAATGTTACCTATGATATAAATAGAAGGTATAGTTACTTATTTTTTACACGTTTAGATTTAAATATCAATCTTCCAGTACATTTCTTCTTGATATTTTTCCCAGTTGTGGTTGAATCCAAACCCACACAAACCCAAACGATACTTTGTCAAAAATATGTAAAAACTGTTCTGCTTCTGGCCCCAACCAGCTCTCATGTTTTTAAATTTGGCCCCAGACAGAATAAGTTTGACATCTCTAAATGGCCAAGCGTTCATAGCGCCGCTGTTTTTTGATCCCTCGGCGTCTGCAATTCCGTCGTCGTGAAGCAGGATTCTCCGAGCGTTGCATCCCACTAATCCAGAACGTGATCCAGGTTCAGACCGTCATGAGGCAGGTTAAATTACTGATGATGTGTTGTTATATTAATCCTTCCCTTAACGAGACACCGAGGTCATAGAACATCATCTTCAGCTTCATCCATGTAAATATGACGAGCTTTCCCCTCACACCCGCCCCCTCTCAGAACGCTGTGTGTAATCAGGCTGATCTGATAGAGCAGCTCAGGTTCATTCGGAGCTTTTCTGCGGTCGAGGCGCCTTCATTACAACTGCGACAATTGAATTCTGGCATTTTCAATTATCTTTATTTGCTCTGTGGATGGCAGAGCTCATATCCTATAGCTTGTTCCAGAGATATGTCTTTATTTCAAGTTATAGGAGCAATATATACAAATCTGGCAAAAAGTGGTACCAGATATGGCCAGATATGCAGACGAATCCAGCTGGGACCATAACAGCTGAATAGACAAGAGTTTTGTCAACAACAAATCTATAACCAACACCTTTTTCACAAAGATAGAAATCCTGGTTTTATTCCTTGTTTTGTCGTTAATGATTTGAGAATCATAACGAGACCTTTTTTAGTTCTGCGCCACATGGTACTTTACCAGTGAGATTAGCTCCACATGGTACTTTACCAGTGAGATTAGCTCCACATGGTACTTTACCAGTGAGATTAGCTCCACGCGGTGAGTTCTGGCGCCCGGATCACAGACTTTCTGATTGGTGAAACGGTGGAGGGCGGGACATCGAAATGAAAACAATAACAAGATTTAGAGGCTGGAAAAGTAATTTAGAAATTCAAATATCTCTGAACTACTGTTATCAGTTAAAGAAGTATTGGAAAAGAGCAGGTTTTATTAATGCCTTTTGACAGATTAGGGCCCTTTTATGATGACAGATTAGGGCCCTTTTATGATGACAGATTAGGGCCCTTTTATGATGACAGATTAGGGCCCTTTTATGATGACAGATTAGGGCCCTTTTATGATGACTTGACATGATCATACTGTACATATTGCTACTTTAAAGGACTGGCAAAAATATGTTAGAGTTCCTCCAGTTGGTACAGAGTCATTATCAGACAGAATGATTTCAGGATATGTCTTAAATTGTACAATCTTACGCCACACATCGCATCACATCGAAAGATCATTTTATAATCATAACAAGGCGCAAGTCGGCCTGACCTGAACCTCATGTGTCGGCGTTTGTCCACTGGGTGAAGGCTGTTTCACGATCTATTGCTCATACTACTTAAGACAAAGGTAGACCAACTCAACTCAAAAACGTTATGGTCCCCAAGGGGAAGATTGTTTGCATGTGGTGGAGCAGAAAATGAAATACTAATAACAATACAATACAAGATATGTTGGCCTTTCTCTAACATCCATTCATTTTCCCATTGGACATGTGTGGTTTCCAATTGTCCATATCCATTTACTGGGCGTGACCAATGTCCATCATCTACGTCTGCATCTATTCGCCAAATGTTATAATTGAACCGTATGTCACACGACAGAAATTGACATGAAGAGATGAAGCGAAAGCTGTTTACTCCATGGTTCTGAAAGATTACTGTTGTTTGTGTCAAACATGAAGGAAGATATCTTTACGCCTGCTGCAACTTCATGAAACTGCAAACAAACTACAAACTTCTGTGTGTCTAAAAGTGCGTCACCATCTCTGGTCCCTCTCTGGCCTCACTCTGGTCTCACTCTGGTCTCTCTCTGGTCTCACTCTGGTCCCTCTCTGGCCTCTCTCTGGTATTTCTCTGGTCTCTCTCTGGCCTCTCTCTGGTCCCTCTCTGGTCTCTCTGGCTTCACTCTGGTCCCTCTCTGGTCTCTCTCTGGCTTCACTCTGGTCTCACTCTGGTCCCTCTCTGGTCCCTCTCTGGCCTCACTCTGGTCTCACTCTGGTCTCACTCTGGTCCCTCTCTGGTCTCTCTCTGGCCTCTCTCTGGTATTTCTCTGGTCTCTCTCTGGCCTCTCTCTGGTATTTCTCTGGTCTCTCTCTGGCCTCTCTCTGGTCCCTCTCTGGTCTCTCTCTGGTATTTCTCTGGTCTCTCTCTGGCCTCTCTCTGGTCCCTCTCTGGTCTCTCTCTGGCCTCTCTCTGGTATTTCTCTGGTCTCTCTCTGGCCTCTCTCTGGTCCCTCTCTGGTCTCTCTGGCTTCACTCTGGTCCCTCTCTGGTCTCTCTGGCTTCACTCTGGTCCCTCTCTGGTCTCTCTCTGGCTTCACTCTGTTCTCTCTCTGGTCCCTCTCTAGTCTCTCTCTAGTCTGTCTCTCTCTGGTCCCTCTCTGGTCTCTCTCTGGCTTCACTCTGGTCCCTCTCTGGTCTCTCTGGCTTCACTCTGGTCCCTCTCTGGTCTCTCTCTGACCTCACTCTGTTCTCTCTCTGGCCTCGCTCTGGCCTCGCTCTGGCCTCGCTCTGGCCTCACTCTGGTCTTTCTCTGGCCTCTCTGACGGGATCTGGGTTCCGCATGCAAGATGAAACCATTTCCCCGTCTTCACCTCAGACCATTCTAAACACTTTACATCCAAATTAAACGATGACCAAACATGACATTGACAGTTCCCTGCTCCTTCACTTTTACCACGTCTTTCCTCTGCTTGTAATTGCAGAAGACTCTTATTGGCATCTCTCTCTCTCTCTCTCTCTCCACACTCTTCTTCTCTTGCCTTTTCTCCACTGTCCCAGCGTCACACACTTCTGCCCTGGACTTAATTTAAGACGGCAATGCTAATGTGGCGTGTCACTCCGGAGACTCCTCTGGATCGGAGGCTTATCGTAGATTATCGGACCTGACAGGCTTTCATGTCATACTTGCTTCATCAGCCCATCATTTCAACACCGTCTCACTGCTGCCTTGGCCCCTATGGTTTCCACCCCCTCACCATAGCTCCAATAACACAGAATTCTGCGTAAAGCCCAGCGTAATGAAAGAAAAACATATGGAACGGGTCGCGGCTCTCCGGGGTCTTCAATGCAACGTGACACGCCGGTGGGAAGTCGAGAATATTCCAGAAGGTAATGGCTTTCGCAATCTCTGGTGTCCCTGTAGCTAAGGTCCTTTTTGAGAAGTATAAACAAATATCCACAGTAATTAACAGAAAGCGTCTTTCATATAGCTCAGGGATTCTATGAGAGGAGCAATTTCATGGCAAATAGAACAGGAATAGAATATACAAGAGATATTATCTGAAGTGGTTTGCGGTAATGCAGTCGGCTCTATATTGCTTAGAAACCAGAAGCAAAGAAGACTAAAGGAAGGACATGTGTTTGAAGTGTTTGTGCTGCGATGCTAGTTCTTCTTTCAGTCAGTACAAAAAGCAGTGTGGTTTTATGACTAGAGTGGAGTCGACAGAAAGACATGTAAGGTCGTGCCGGAGGTAGAGAAAACAGAAAGTGGGTGGAAATGAGTTGAAGAATCTTTGTCTTCATGAATGTTGTTGCGTAATTCAGATTCGATCCAGAAGAAATACCAAGAAATGAAAGAGTTCAGTCTGAATAACATCTATTTCCCATTATAATTACATTCCAATACAAAACTCTTGAGCTCCTATTTCCATAACTGTCCTTAGATCTAAATCCATGGGTCTGAAATGGGTTCTGCGATGTGGCCCTGCTCAGATTCCACTTTTTGCTCCAATATATGAAAACGCAGAGAGGTGGAGACAGCATCGACGGCCTCATATTGTCCCATATCTGCTGAATATACTCAACAAATAGATTATCTGACCACAAAACCATTGTCTTCACACTTAGTAGTTATTGTGATGGAAAGTAGAGTTACAGAAACATTAAAGATGCAGTCATTTACAGACACTTTTTCAGACATTAGTAAATCTTGTTTGTTTTTTGAGTACACTCTACACTCTTCCACTTTATAATATAATAAAACATCCATCCATTTTATTCCCCTCAATCCATTTCTGGGTCGGGGGGTGGCCTGCATACTTAGCACCTGCAGGAGGGGCTGGTGCTGAGTCCACAGGAGCTGAGATCTTTCAGCGGGGGCTTCAGGTAAAGTGGGGTTAAGTGTCTCGCCCAAGGACACAACGACAGTAGACATTAGTGGGAGTCGTGCAGTAGGTCTCGTGGTGGGCTCTACCAACTGAGCCACTGTCGCCCCCATAAAAAACACTAATTTGATAAATGTTGATACACGGATGAAAAGAAAGGTGTTTGCTGTAGTCAATATGCACTACAGTCTCTCGGGGGATTTTAGACATACACATTAGTGAATGATTGATGACTTTAGACAACTTGGGCCTGAACCACCTGTTGTGCAAACTATGGTGGTTTAATGATGCCATAATTGCCCTCTTCATCATGTCCCAACAGAAACAGTGTCAAGTGCATTTGTGAATGCAAATGCATTTTTTTCTTCTATTTTCCCTGAACTGGTTTGAACAATGGCGGGTTTTCTGTTTCTGTTGAGATTGTTCGAAGCTAAAGATAAACAACAATCCGTGTGTCCCAAAGCAATGTTATATGTCCCTGGATAAAACTCCTACTACTCTTTGGTCTTCTCCTTTCAAGAAAATTACTTAAACATTTTTGTTTGCTACAGCCCAAAATCATCAGTCTCAAAGGACCAAGGACAACTCAAGCAGTCGTTGGTCAAAAAAGGCAAACATATTTAGAGTTCCAAAGCCTCCCCAGTCCTTAAACCCTACTTCTACATCTTTGGTAAAGGATACACTGAAAAATATAACAAATAGAGTTCATTCATTTGACATCCCAACATTCCAAAGTCTGGAGTTTAAATTTGTGGTGGAGGGAAGCTGGGAAATCATTGCAAATAACTACTGGGCAACTGTCAAAATCTTCTTGTTTTTGTTTAGAGGCTAAAAGTTTGTAATTCCTGGACCAATCCATATTAAACTCAAACTGTTTCAAAGTTCCACATCTTTTTTGTCAGTACATGTCAACTAGAGGTGGGGGAAATGTCCGATTCTTAGATTCGGACGTGGAAGAATCGAGAATGATTCACAAACATTTAAATTCCAATGATCAAGTAAAGCAAACTGAAATACGGTAAGAAAGTCTTAAAAAAGCTATAGCGAACAGACCGAGAGCGCACATCCACAGCACACTCCTCCACAAAAACAAAACAACTGAAAGCCTAAACCCTTCCAATCCTAATTTTTCTGTGTTTTAAAAAAGTGACTGAGCAAATAAACAACTACTGCTACTCCTACAAGCACGGCTGAGCTAACCAACCCACCTCGGCGTGAGAACCGACCTGCTCTGATCGCTTCGTACGCCTGACTTTCCACACTGTTTAAGACACACACACTCTCTCAGCACTCACACTGTTTAAGACACACACACTCTCTCAGCACTCACACTGTTTAAGACACACACTCTCTCTCAGCACTCACTGTTTAAGACACACACTCTCTCTCAGCGCTCACTGTTTAAGACACACACACTCTCTCAGCGCTCACTGTTTAAGACACACACACTCTCTCAGCACTCACACTGTTTAAGACACACACACTCTCTCAGCACTCACACTGTTTAAGACACACACTCTCTCTCAGCACTCACACTGTTTAAGACACACACTCTCTCTCAGCACTCACACTGTTTAAGACACACACTCTCTCTCAGCACTCACACTGTTTAAGACACACACTCTCTCTCAGCACTCACACTGTTTAAGACACACACTCTCTCTCAGCACTCACACTGTTTAAGACACACACTCTCTCTCAGCACTCACACTGTTTAAGACACACACTCTCTCTCAGCACTCACACTGTTTAAGACACACACTCTCTCTCAGCACTCACACTGTTTAAGACACACACTCTCTCTCAGCACTCACACTGTTTAAGACACACACTCTCTCTCAGCTCACACTGTTTAAGACACACACTCTCTCTCAGCACTCACACTGTTTAAGACACACACTCTCTCTCAGCACTCACACTGTTTAAGACACACACTCTCTCTCAGCACTCACACTGTTTAAGACACACACTCTCTCTCAGCACTCACACTGTTTAAGACACACACTCTCTCTCAGCTCACACTGTTTAAGACACACACTCTCTCTCAGCACTCACACTGTTTAAGACACACACTCTCTCTCAGCACTCACACTGTTTAAGACACACACTCTCTCTCAGCACTCACACTGTTTAAGACACACACTCTCTCTCAGCACTCACACTGTTTAAGACACACACTCTCTCTCAGCGCTCACACTGTTTAAGACACACACTCTCTCTCAGCGCTCACACTGTTTAAGACACACACTCTCTCTCAGCACTCACACTGTTTAAGACACACACTCTCTCTCAGCTCTCACTGTTTAAGACACACACTCTCTCTCAGCTCTCACTGTTTAAGACACACACTCTCTCTCAGCTCACACTGTTTTAAGACACACACTCTCTCTCAGCACTCACACTGTTTAAGACACACACTCTCTCTCAGCACTCACACTGTTTAAGACACACACTCTCTCTCAGCTCTCACTGTTTAAGACACACACTCTCTCTCAGCTCACACTGTTTAAGACACACACTCTCTCTCTCAGCTCTCACTGTTTAAGACACACACTCTCTCTCAGCTCACACTGTTTAAGACACACACTCTCTCTCAGCTCTCACTGTTTAAGACACACACTCTCTCTCAGCTCACACTGTTTAAGACACACACTCTCTCTCAGCACTCACACTGTTTAAGACACACACTCTCTCTCAGCACTCACACTGTTTAAGACACACACTCTCTCTCAGCTCTCACTGTTTAAGACCCACACACACACTCTCTCTCAGCACACACTGTTTAAGACACACACTCTCTCTCAGCACTCACACTGTTTAAGACACACACTCTCTCTCAGCTCTCACTGTTTAAGACACACACTCTCTCTCAGCTCTCACTGTTTAAGACACACACTCTCTCTCAGCACTCACACTGTTTAAGACACACACTCTCTCTCAGCACTCACACTGTTTAAGACACACACTCTCTCTCAGCTCACACTGTTTAAGACACACACTCTCTCTCAGCACTCACACTGTTTAAGACACACACTCTCTCTCAGCACTCACACTGTTTAAGACACACACTCTCTCTCAGCACTCACACTGTTTAAGACACACACTCTCTCTCAGCACTCACACTGTTTAAGACACACACTCTCTCTCAGCTCTCACTGTTTAAGACACACACTCTCTCTCAGCACTCACACTGTTTAAGACACACACTCTCTCTCAGCGCTCACACTGTTTAAGACACACACTCTCTCTCAGCCTCACACTGTTTAAGACACACACTCTCTCTCAGCACTCACACTGTTTAAGACACACACTCTCTCTCAGCTCTCACTGTTTAAGACACACACTCTCTCTCAGCTCACACTGTTTAAGACACACACTCTCTCTCAGCACTCACACTGTTTAAGACACACACTCTCTCTCAGCACTCACACTGTTTAAGACACACACTCTCTCTCAGCACTCACACTGTTTAAGACACACACTCTCTCTCAGCACACACTGTTTAAGACACACACTCTCTCTCAGCTCACACTGTTTAAGACACACACTCTCTCTCAGCACTCACACTGTTTAAGACACACACTCTCTCTCAGCTCTCACTGTTTAAGACACACACTCTCTCTCAGCTCACACTGTTTAAGACACACACTCTCTCTCAGCACTCACACTGTTTAAGACACACACTCTCTCTCAGCTCTCACTGTTTAAGACACACACTCTCTCTCAGCTCTCACTGTTTAAGACACACACTCTCTCTCAGCTCTCACTGTTTAAGACACACACTCTCTCTCAGCTCTCACACTGTTTAAGACACACACTCTCTCTCAGCTCACACTGTTTAAGACACACACTCTCTCTCAGCTCACACTGTTTAAGACACACACTCTCTCTCAGCACTCACACTGTTTAAGACACACACTCTCTCTCAGCTCACACTGTTTAAGACACACACTCTCTCTCAGCACTCACACTGTTTAAGACACACACTCTCTCTCAGCTCTCACACTGTTTAAGACACACACTCTCTCTCAGCTCACACTGTTTAAGACACACACTCTCTCTCAGCACTCACACTGTTTAAGACACACACTCTCTCTCAGCACTCACACTGTTTAAGACACACACTCTCTCTCAGCACTCACACTGTTTAAGACACACACTCTCTCTCAGCCACTGTTAACACACTCACTCTCTGTCCACTGTTTAAGACACACACTCTCTCTCAGCACTCACACTGTTTAAGACACACACTCTCTCTCAGCACTCACACTGTTTAAGACACACACTCTCTCTCAGCACTCACACTGTTTAAGACACACACTCTCTCTCAGCACTCACACTGTTTAAGACACACACTCTCTCTCAGCTCTCACTGTTTAAGACACACACTCTCTCTCAGCTCACACTGTTTAAGACACACACTCTCTCTCAGCTCTCACTGTTTAAGACACACACTCTCTCTCAGCTCACACTGTTTAAGACACACACTCTCTCTCAGCACTCACACTGTTTAAGACACACACTCTCTCTCAGCACTGTTAGACACACCTCTCTCTCAGCCTCACACTGTTTAAGACACACACTCTCTCTCAGCTCTCACACTGTTTAAGACACACACTCTCTCTCAGCTCTCACTGTTTAAGACACACACTCTCTCTCAGCACTCACACTGTTTAAGACACACACTCTCTCTCAGCCTCACACTGTTTAAGACACACACTCTCTCTCAGCTCTCACTGTTTAAGACACACACTCTCTCTCAGCACTCACACTGTTTAAGACACACACTCTCTCTCAGCACTCACACTGTTTAAGACACACACTCTCTCTCAGCTCACACTGTTTAAGACACACACTCTCTCTCAGCACTCACACTGTTTAAGACACACACTCTCTCTCAGCACTCACACTGTTTAAGACACACACTCTCTCTCAGCACTCACACTGTTTAAGACACACACTCTCTCTCAGCACTCACACTGTTTAAGACACACACTCTCTCTCAGCTCTCACTGTTTAAGACACACACTCTCTCTCAGCACTCACACTGTTTAAGACACACACTCTCTCTCAGCGCTCACACTGTTTAAGACACACACTCTCTCTCAGCACTCACACTGTTTAAGACACACACTCTCTCTCAGCACTCACACTGTTTAAGACACACACTCTCTCTCAGCTCTCACTGTTTAAGACACACACTCTCTCTCAGCTCCACTGTTTAAGACACACACTCTCTCTCAGCACTCACACTGTTTAAGACACACACTCTCTCTCAGCACTCACACTGTTTAAGACACACACTCTCTCTCAGCACTCACACTGTTTAAGACACACACTCTCTCTCAGCACTCACACTGTTTAAGACACACACTCTCTCTCAGCTCACACTGTTTAAGACACACACTCTCTCTCAGCTCACACTCCGTTTAAGACACACACTCTCTCTCAGCTCTCACTGTTTAAGACACACACTCTCTCTCAGCTCACACTGTTTAAGACACACACTCTCTCTCAGCACTCACACTGTTTAAGACACACACTCTCTCTCAGCTCTCACTGTTTAAGACACACACTCTCTCTCAGCTCTCACTGTTTAAGACACACACTCTCTCTCAGCTCTCACTGTTTAAGACACACACTCTCTCTCAGCTCTCACTGTTTAAGACACACACTCTCTCTCAGCTCTCACACTGTTTAAGACACACACTCTCTCTCAGCTCACACTGTTTAAGACACACACTCTCTCTCAGCACTCACACTGTTTAAGACACACGCTCTCTCTCAGCTCACACTGTTTAAGACACACACTCTCTCTCAGCACTCACACTGTTTAAGACACACACTCTCTCTCAGCTCTCACTGTTTAAGACACACACTCTCTCTCAGCTCACACTGTTTAAGACACACACTCTCTCTCAGCACTCACACTGTTTAAGACACACACTCTCTCTCAGCACTCACACTGTTTAAGACACACACTCTCTCTCAGCACTCACACTGTTTAAGACACACACTCTCTCTCAGCACTCACACTGTTTAAGACACACACTCTCTCTCAGCACTCACACTGTTTAAGACACACACTCTCTCTCAGCACTCACACTGTTTAAGACACACACTCTCTCTCAGCACTCACACTGTTTAAGACACACACTCTCTCTCAGCGTCACACTGTTTAAGACACACACTCTCTCTCAGCTCTCACTGTTTAAGACACACACTCTCTCTCAGCACTCACACTGTTTAAGACACACACTCTCTCTCAGCACTCACACTGTTTAAGACACACACTCTCTCTCAGCACTCACACTGTTTAAGACACACACTCTCTCTCAGCTCACACTGTTTAAGACACACACTCTCTCTCAGCACTCACACTGTTTAAGACACACACTCTCTCTCAGCACTCACACTGTTTAAGACACACACTCTCTCTCAGCCCTCACTGTTTAAGACACACACTCTCTCTCAGCACTCACACTGTTTAAGACACACACTCTCTCTCAGCACTCACACTGTTTAAGACACACACTCTCTCTCAGCACTCACACTGTTTAAGACACACACTCTCTCTCAGCACTCACACTGTTTAAGACACACACTCTCTCTCAGCTCACACTGTTTAAGACACACACTCTCTCTCAGCACTCACACTGTTTAAGACACACACTCTCTCTCAGCACTCACACTGTTTAAGACACACACTCTCTCTCAGCACTCACACTGTTTAAGACACACACTCTCTCTCAGCGCTCACACTGTTTAAGACACACACTCTCTCTCAGCTCTCACTGTTTAAGACACACACT